TAATAATAATAATAATAAAAAGAAGTCTTTACACCTGGTAAACAATTGCCGAGTTGATTAATATGAGTTGGCAAGCAGTAAGGGTTTAGGCAGCAGGCTGAAACGGCAACTCAGTGTATTTGTGAAGCCCCATGGTTCACTTCTATAGCTACAAGATTTCCTTAACTTTCATCCCTCCCTTAACCACAAGTGCTTTTTAACGAAGTTTTTGGCGCTATGAGCTACTAAAGACGTGCTGTAATCATCTTCCTAAGCTGGTAAGCAGTATTATCAGTTTCAGGGATTCCTGTATGGAAGTGGTATGTCTTAGTCGGTCTCAGCAGCCCCAATTTTCTTACACAGATTTATGGCACTTGCTAATGAGTTGATATGCTTGCTCTGAGCTGAAACAAATTCCCAGTGAAATCTTTGAGTGAAGCCTGAGTCAAGAAGGGGAAGATTTATTGGGTTTCAGCCTGACTGCACACACGTGCCCAGGAGCAGCCGAAATGGGTCATAGCCAGTGAAACGCTCCCCGGGGCCTGGGCGCGGTGCTAAGCCACCGGTGCGGGACAGGGCACCAGGCTGCTGCTTCTGCTGCTGCTGCTGCTGCTGCTGCCTGCTCCTGCCGCTCCTGCTGCTGCTGCACCTTCGTGGGGAGGGGTAAAATCACATCCGTGCAGTGGTGTCAATATGACAGCCCCCCCGCCTTGCACAAAGCTGGCAGTTGTTTGTAAGTTCGGGGCACCCTGACATAAAAGTGACAGTGTATGTGATGTCACAGTTAGCTTCAAAGCTGAAGTGGTGCAAGCAACTACTGCTGGTTGCATGCAAGTAGGCTTGACAACACGTGTGCTTCACTGCAGTGCTGTCTGCCGCACGTGTCCAGGCAAACGAGGCCAGGGATGCTCTGCAGCAGGCACAGCCATGAAGTGAATTACTCTTATTGGCAGCTGCAGACCTTTTCTGCACCTTGCACATCACTGTTTTCCCTCTTTTTTCCCAGTGTTACCTGAAATCTGTTTTGTTTGGGTTTTTATTTCTCCCATCTTAGCTGTCCCTCCCCCCTGATTTCTCCAGCCCCAGCACTACAGCAGAGCAGGCATCTCTTGCCCACACAGCACTGGGGTTCCCGCAGACCCATGGGGCAGGTGGGGGGGTGCTGGGCTCCTAAATTGTACCAGCGAGCCCTGGGCTGGGCTGGGTGACACTCTCTGGGCTGAGGTGGCGGGCAGGGGCTGGCCGGCAGCTGACGGGGCCATGGCCCCCTCAGCCCTGGAGGGTT